ATTTGCTCTGCAGAAAACGTAGTTGGCGGGATAAGGAACTGTTCGATGAGATGACGTGGCTCTTTCATTGATCGACAAATTATATCCCACGCGTCGAATCTAAGCGCGTCGTGTTCACTGTACAGAGGAATATACTCAAATCTCAATTATTGTTTTCTCAACATTTAAAATCTTGGGAAATCTTTACTAAATTGTAACAAATGTCATCAGAGAGCCAGAAAATTTGTATGTATAGTAGAAGATAAGACTATTATAATAAGTGGATGAGAGCCTAATTGTATGTATATATGTGTTAAAGACTATCATAAATTTAGTTGAACTTTGAAACAAAAAAATACTTATTGGAAAGTTTTCTATATATATAGTTTTTCTTATTCTAATTTTAACCAAGTCAATGTATATCACCACCTCCTATAGATTAGATTTAAGAAGAATCTGCCAAAGAATATCCAACTTATTATGAAGTTATAAATCTGAGAAGGTGAGATACACGCGAGGGTAAAAAAGCGTGAGCATTGAAAGCAGTGTCGTCGAATTGGGTAGAAATTGTGGATAAGGAGAGATGATTCACGTGTGCTAAAAGTTTAACGGTAAAAGCCCATTTAGGCCCATTCGATGTTCATGTATAATTCTTGTAACATTTCAAATTTCAAATTCCCTTTAATATAGACGCAACGGTTCGACGAGAGTGACAACAATGGCTGCACCATCGTTGCGACTAGCATTCCTCAAATGTCCAAGAGATGGCGATACTTTACAGTACAAATCCGGATCTACGATTCGTGTCGGTCGAATCGTTCGTGGTAACGAAATCGCCGTCAAAGACGCCGGAATCTCAACAAAGCATCTACGGATCGAATCGGTTTCTGGGAATTGGGTGATTAGCGACCTTGGATCTTCAAACGGCACTTTATTGAACTCGGATTCTCTCAATCCAGATACTCCGGTAAATCTCCGACATGGTGATATCATCGAACTCGGTGAGTATACATCGATCTCTGTGAACTTTGTGATTGATGTTGTTCAGGAGCAGAATCTTCCTCCTCGAGGAAGGAGGAACGATACGCGTCAGGTTAGTGCGGATTTAGACAATGTCGGGCTTGGGAAGCGAACTAGGGTTTCCAATTTGGGGAATTGCTTCGAGGAAGAAGAGTTTTGCAAGCCGAGTTCTAGGGTTAGGAAAGCTAGGAAGATCGAGAATACTGAGAAATTAGGAATTTTTGAAGAAGAAAAAGGGCTTCTGGATGTGAAAAAGGGAAACTATAGGGTTCGGAGAGCTAGGAATGTTGTTGCAAGTGTTCAGAGTTCATGTGTGAACTCAATTAAGCTCGAAACTGAGGATGCCAAGGACATTGAAATTGTAGAAAAATCGTGTTTGGGAGTGGTTAATGTAGACAAGGACGATATGGTAGCATTAGGAGATGTAGAGGAAGGTTTAAAAGAGAAGAGGGTTACAAGGGCTACTAGAAGTAAGAAGAATGAAATTGTTGGAGATTCGTATTTGGATTTGGAGATGGTTCTTAACCGAGCTAGAAAGAACTGTGG